GGGGGTGGAAAGAGAAAAGGTAAAAGTTCAAATGATTGCAAAGTTCTCTGAAATTCTTTGCTCTTGCATTAAATAGGATATTGACAGAATCTTATGGTAAATTATCATTGCAACAGTGAATGAGGCACCTCAAACGAGAATCAAAGACATCATATACTTCAGACAGATTTTACCCTTCATATGCTGTTAAGTATTTTAATAGCACAGTAGATCTGATCTGAAAGTTTGATAGACATGAAACCACAACTTTGTAATACTCAATTAAAAAACATTTCCTTGACTTTCTGAGTTAATGCTTCAGTATGAAATATTTCAAATTTTAACTGTAGTCAAAATATTACAGTGACTAAGCCCTGCAAAACTAGTGAAAAAGTCACGAATATTTAACACTGACATATAAAGTAGTTCCTGCCAGACACATGGACAGGAATAAATCCTGTGTTAGTCATACTACCTCTGACAACTGGGAAGTGTATTGTGTAAACAGATATTTCATATTGAGAATCACACTCAAACTATTGAGTATTAAAGTTCTATACTTTCATCTGACCCTCCAAAGTGGACTCTACTCTCTCAATTCTTTGGAAATGCACTCTTTGCATAGTACACAAACCAGCTTTATTTACTTCAATAGTTATAAAGTGACAAAGTTGCATCTGAAATTAATTACTATTTTACATCAGGACACCAGCTGCCTATTACTCACAAAATAAAGACAAGAACTGGCACTGAAATAAACTGGGAGTGACAAGCCAGTATTTTTATCTTCAGCTGTATCATCTTTCCAGCTTTGCACGTTCCTAAGGCTGTACAAGAAAACTGGTTCTAAGAGTCAAAGGAAGAAAAATCACCACGTTCTTTTCCACTTAGGGCTAGGCATCCTCACAAAGAACAGCAATCAAGCAGTACATTATCATTTATCTTTTAATTCCAACCCCAGAGGGCGTGTCTTCTGCCTACCTTTTGTTTCTTCTTTTGCTTTTTGTGTTGCTAAATCTGCAAGCCAGTGTAAGGCTGACGATGGAGCTGTTTCTGGACAAAGCGGCCTGTTAGTCTTTATTTCACCTGCGTTATTGGTTGGCAACATCTCTGTTTTGGAAGATTCTTCTATCCTACTATCAGTTACTTCAGATTTTGGAACAGTGTCCATTTCTAATTGTCCCATCCCTGCTGTTCCTGCTCCAGTGGAAAAGGTGCTCTCGTTTCCAGAGACTGATGCATTAGGATTTACAGTTGGAAGCTAAAACAAAAATATAAAAAACTGCTAAATGTTGAAATAAGGGAAGAGTTCAACTTGGGAGACATTTTAGTTATCCAATGTACTGGGTTTTGTTTGTTCACCTGCTTTAAGTGGACAGCAGAGTTCCTTTATGCTTATGGAGCAGCAGAGTACAGGAGCTTCTTCTCCACATATACTAGACCTTGCATTGTGGTGTGAATTCTTACCGCATCATCTTTCATACAAGCCCAGGCTTTTCGACTTCTTTTTTTACAGGAGGACTTTTTGTGTAAACAGTAACAGAACTGCTCTATATTCAGCTTAACATTCAGGAATGGTAACAAAATAAATGCACATGTTGCAAGCTACTCATAGTGGTTTATCTGAAGATACAGCATCAATATGAATGGCTTCTTACCCAACTTCTACATAAGAATATTAGCCGAAATATCCACTTGGTAAGTAACAGCTGCAGCACACATCCTCAAAAAATGTCCCAGACAATTTTTGCTAAGCTAAAAACACTCAGAATACATATGGAGAAAATTAAGTTTGTGTTTCACAACAGATTAGTCTAAAGGATCTAACATTTTAATAGATCTTAAAAATGTAATGTCAAACAAGATAATTTCAGCCTCAAATTACATACCTGTGATATTCCATTAGTGACAGCTGGTCTCAACACTGATTTGTTCTGTCGGTTAATACACGGACAATTGGCTTTAATACCCCATTTGCCTCGTGCCGCATGAACCATGTCTCCAATATTGTAAAGCGCTGGAAATAAAGATAATATCTTTACTATCACATGTAAAGAAATCTAAAAACTAGGCCTTAACTATAATAGACATTCAGAGGGGTGGGGGTTTTTTTAGCATTACTGCTAAGTATCTTTAAGATCACATGCTATAATGAGACACTCCTCTCTGAATAGTGTCGAGAACTGTGCTAACACTAGTTTCGTGATGTCACTAAGAGGCTGTCAAGCCCAGAAAATCCTACAGATTATCATCTCCTCCTACTATTCCATGTAGGGTCCAATGATGCCACAATGTGGCAACTTCAAACCATCAAGAGACTATATATCCTTCGGATCAATGTCAAAAGGATCTGGAGGACAGGTGGTGTTCTCCTCTATCCTTACAGTAAGAGGACAGAACAGGTGAATGCTGCCTGCATGGATGGTGCCATGCACAGGTTTTGGCTTCTATGATCACGAATCTACCTTTGAGAAGCCAGGTCTCTTGGGAGCTGATAGGAGTCACCTGCCCAAGCCGGGCAAGAGAGTCTTTGCCAACAAGTTGGCCAGACTTACATGAAGAGCTTTAAACTAGATTTAGTGGGGGAAAGGGATGGAGATTTGAGCAACAGAGAAGAGCTGGGGCTGCTAATGTACTAGGAACCAACAGGGAAACAGCTGTGAAATGGCTCAAAGGAATTTGGGCATGTTCCTCTTGAGAGGTGACAAGGTTGAAAGCCCAGCTGAAGTGCCTCTATATACCACTGCACGCAGCACGGGAAACAAGCAGGAGGAGCTGGAAGTCATTGTGCAACTAGAAAGCTATGATCTAATCGCTATCGCTGAAATATAATGACAAAACGTACAACTGGAGCACTGCAGGGGGAGTTGCTCTCTGCGTAAGAGCGCAGATTGACTGCATAGAGATGCCTTTGAAAAAGAGCGATGAACAGGTTGAGAGCTTATGGGTAAAAATTAGGGGCCAAGCCAACAAAGGAAACCTCACTGCTGATGTTTACTACAGGTCACCCAACCAAGGGGAGCCTGCTGACAAAGTGTTCTTACTTCAACTACAGGAAGCATCATGGTCACAGGCTCTGATCCTGATTGGGAAATTCAATCACCTTGACACCTGCTGGAAAAGCAGCACAGCAAGCTGTAAGCAGTCAAGGAGACTTCTGCAGTGCATTGAGGATAATTTCTTAATCCAGGAGACAGAGAGCTCAATCAGAGGAGAAGTGTTACTGGACCTGTTGCTCACCAACATGGAAGAGCTAATCAGAGATACTAAGATCGGTGGCAGCCTGGGCTGCAGTGATCGTGCCCTGGTGGAATCCACAATCTTGAGGGATATGGGGCAGATGAAGAGTAGAGTCAGGAAGCTGAATTTTAGGAGAGCAAACTTTCAGTTGCCTACGGAATTAACATATAGGACCCCCTGGGAAACCATCCTAAGGGACAAAGGAGCCGAACAGAGCTTGCAGCTCTTTAAGAACATTTTTCTTAGAGTGCAAGAGCTCTCAATTCCCATGTGTATTAAATAAATAAATAAATAAAAAAAGCATAGAAGGCAGGAGAATGGCATTTGTCAGTAAGGACCTCCCGGTCAAACTTAAATATGAGAAGGAGACATGCAATCATTAGAACCAGGGACACGTATCCCGGGAAGAATACAGGGACACTGCCACTGCCTGGATGTGTAGGGATGGGATCAGGAAAGCTAAGGCACAGCTGTAGCTGAATTTGGCAAGTGATGCAAATAACAATAATGGCTTTGACAGGTACGTTAGCCAGAAAAGGAAGATTAAAGAAAATGTACACACATACCCCTACCCCACTAAAGACAGGAGAGCTGGTGACAGCTGAGGTACTCAACAGTATTTTTTTCCCCCTCAGTTTTCAATGATATTCTCTCTTCTCACCTCTCTGAATCTCAAGGCAGATTCAAGCCCCTGAACTTCAAGGCAGGGACTGTGGGAACGAAGTTCCTGCCATAGTAGCAGAATCATAGAATATCTTGAGTTGTAAGGGACCCACAAGGATCATCAAGTCCAACTCACTGCTCCTCACAGGACTGGCTAAACTAAATCATATGACTAAGAGAGTCATCCAGATGCTCCTTGAACTCTTGACAGGCTTGGTGCCGAGACCGCTTCCCTGAGGAGCCTGTTCAGTGAACAACCACCTTCCCAGTGAAGAACCTTTTCCTAATGTCCATTCTGAGCATCCCACGGTGCAGCTTCATTCCATTTCCTTGTGTCCCATCACCAGTCATCAGAGAGAGGAGATCAGCACCTCCTCCTCCGCTGCCCACCTCGAGGAAGTTGTAGACTGCAATGAGGTTCCCCCTCAGCCTTCTCTTCTCCAAGCTGAACAAACCAAGTGACCTCAGCTGCTCCTCATAGGTCTTGTCCTTGAGACCTTTCACTATCTTGGCCGTCCTCCTCTGGACACACTCTATTAGTTTGATGTCCTTCTTGTACTGAAGCACCCCAAGTGACCTCAGCTCCTCCTCATAGGTCTTGTCCTTGAGACCTTTCACTATCTTGGCCGTCCTCCTCTGGACACACTCTATTAGTTTGATGTCCTTCTTGTACTGAAGCACCCAAAACTGCACACCGTACTCAAGGTGGGACTGCACGAGTATCAGGTAACGTGTGTTTGCAGCCAAGCAAGCCGTATCATATCCTGGCCTGCATTAAAAAAAAAAAAGCATGGCCAGCATGGCCAGCAAGTCAAGAGACATGATTCTCCCCCTCTACTCTACCCCACCTGGAGTCCTGCGTCCAGCTCTGGGGTGCCCAGTACAAGACAGACATGGACCTGTTCAAGTGGGTCCAGAGGAGGGCCATGAAAATGATGAGAGGGCTGGAACACCTCTCCTATGAGGAAAGACTGAGACAGTTGGCATGGTTCAGCCTGGAGAAGAGAAGGCTCCAGGGAGATGTTATTATGGCCTTTCAATACATAAAGGGAGACCATAAGAAAGACAGAGAGACTTTTCACCAAGGCCTGGAGTGACAGGACGAGAGGCAACCATTTTAAACTGAAAGAGGGTAGGTTTAGATGGGACATAACAAAGAAATTTTTTACAATGAGGGTGGTGAGACACTGGAACAAGTTGCCCAGAGAAATTGTGGATGTCCTCTCGCTGGAAGTGTTCAAAGCCAGGTTGGATGAGGCTCTGAGCAAACCGATCTAGTTAAAGATTTCCCTGTCCATTGCGGGGGCTTAGACTAGATAATCTTTAAAGGTCCCTTCCAACACATCCCTCCCTCCAACAGAAAAAGATCTTTTGTAAGTTAACCACATTTACTGATACAACTAAATCCAGATGAGCACAAGTCACAGCTAGTATCAGAAGGGTGTTCACTTCAAACCCACAGCTTGATCTTACTTGGGTTACCTTCCCTTCAACCCTTCTGCTGTAGCAAGTGGAAGTCTCCTCTAAATCCATGCTAGAAAAGGTATCAGCTAGAGCACCAACCATTTTAGTATGAAAAACACTTGCTTGCTCAGAATTGAGAAAAAATTTGGAATTTTTCTTTTCAAGTTTCAAGCATTACCTGTACCAGGAATGATCTGTGTCGGCATAAGATTCTCTGGCTCATGAGACTGACCCTTTGCACACTTCAGCCATGAGAAGACTTCCTCATCACCAATCTCCTCTGTCTCTGAAATAAAGACAAAAAAAAAGGTAAAATTTTGTACAAAAGTCACTAAAACTTTACAATACAGAATATTTCTGCATCAATATTGTTTCTTTAGATTTTTTACAGTGCAGGTGATTACCCTCGTGATCTCAGAAATAAACTATAAATACAGACCATTAGAACAGGATGTACAGCAACTTCTTTGCCTCTTCAGATTATAAGACTACCAGAGTCATTCTCCCTTCATTTCTAGTAGCTTGTTATTTTCAATAGCCTAAAAAACTTGGCTTCTAGCCTCAATTTTTAGATATCAAACTCTTGTTCTCATTATGCTTTCCTAAGTTACAGAATAATTCTATCTTTTCTTGTCATTATCTCCTAAGCTTTTTCAACAAGAAGTATCTGCAGATCAGTTCCAGGAAGAGTAAACTAAGCTCCCCTGTCAGTATATTTATTTAACAAAGCTAACAAGTAGCAAATTAGAAATTAGTTTGAAAAGTCATGTGGCAAGTTTATCATTCTTCAGATTTTAAACCAAGTTGTGCCTACAAATATGTAGCTGCATAAACAGCATGCCATTCTCTTCCCTTAAAAAGGAATGTGGCAGTGAAGGGTGACTAGGGTAGAATATGAGAATAATCATATAAAACTTTATTTCAGGGTCCTCTAGACCTGGTATCTGCATAGGTTGTTTCTACAGCACAAAGTTCAGAAGCCTCTTGAGGCAAGTAGCTGTATTTAAGTAATGCCTTGGTTCTACATTTTGGCCGATTCTAAAATTTCAAATTTGATTAATAAACCATAATTACAATACTGTTGTCAGGAAGACATCATTGATAAGCAATATATATATACACACACGCACACACACTATCATTTGCCATTGTAATATATCAGTCTTTTCAGTGCTGACCCTCCTCTGTAAGCCAGTGAGTAAAACCTTCTCTCATTCCCAGGACATCTCTTCATTTTCACCTAGCATGGGTAAGGCTATCATATTTATTTCCCTGATGCGAGAAGAAAAGGAGTTAAGAGACTATTGCCCTTGAATCATGGACATCTTTATACCACATTCTGTCAGTGATATGTTCAGTCCCGAACGCTTTTTCCAAACACACACAGTGTCAGATACAAGAAATGCTATTCTACTTACTTCCAACTATTTCCACTCTACCCTGGTTAACCACATCTTAAAGATTGTTATGCTCTCTTCTGGTGTATTCTGGCAGTAATTTCGTAGGTTTCATTATTATACTGGGTCTGGCTGGGATGGAGTTAATTTTATCCGTAGCAGCAGTGGTGCTGTGTTTTAGACTTGTGACCAAAACAGTGCTGCTAACACACTAATGTTTTAGCTATTGCTGAACAGTGTTTGCACAGTTTCCGCGTCTTCTCTGTTTCTCACTCTATCCACCCCCTGCAAGTGAATAGACTGGGGGTGCACAAAACATTGTGATGGAACACCACCAGACAGATGACCCAAACTAAGCAAAGGGATGTTCCATGCCATACAATGTCACACTCAGCAATAAAAACAGAGAGGAGGGAGTTTAAGGGGGGCTAGCCATCTTTCGCTTGGGAAACCACTGGGCAATGGTCTACCTGTGGGAGGTGGTGAGTGATTGCCTTTGCATCACTTGCTTTGTTTTGATTTCTTTTTCTATTTCTCCTTTGCTTATTAAACAATTTGTATCCAAGGTTGTTGGATACCACAAGTTTTCCTGCTTTTACTCTTTTTACTCTTCCTTTCCTCTTTCCCCAGTCCCAGTGCTATGGGGGAGTGAGCAAGTGGTTGCATGGTGCTTAGCTGCCTACTGGGGTTGACCCAAAACAATGATACAAAAATAGGTGAGCTTTTATCTATTTTAAAAACCCTAGCTTTTATAATTCATTCAGTGTTCTCTGGCACCTTTATCATAACAAATAGAGCAGTACTCACACTTATTAACATCCAGTATTTTGTACATCTGCTCCACATAATAACATAACTGTCACTAATAGCCTTAGTGACATTGTCAGCACCCATACTACCAAAGTGGTCTCAATACAGTAAAATACACAAAAAAGAAACCAGGTATTCACTTTTGTAAGCACAGTGTGCCCCTTATTTATTAGAAATTGAACTTACTGAACTTTTTCCTGAATTACAAACCCTAGTGCATCAAGGAATCAAACAAAGAAGGAAACTTACTAATCTAACTCCTTGTTACAGCAAGGAGTTCTCTGCAATGTCTGCTCACTAGTTCATCGTGTGATGGTTCAGAATTGTTAAGATATTACTTAATTTTTCTTTTATAGTCTCTGAGGAAAAGATGGAACTATACAGTAGTCTGTCTCAGTACATAGCCTATGACTGCTGGTGGTGTAATTTTAATAATCAAATTTTAATCAAATAGATAAAACACAGGTATCTAAGGAAACGACGAATGGAACAGCAGCGTATAAGACAGTAGTGCCAAAGTTCCAAACCTCCAGCCTCCCAAGCTGATACTCACTAACTCTCCCACAAAACCTTTAGCAACTTCCCAGAAACTATCACCACTGAAAGCCAGCCAGTTCAATGATTACAGTGGGGGAAAAAAGTCCAGTACTCACCACTACGTGGACGATTCTTCCTCAGCCGGTAACAGTCCAGACAGACCCCAAAACCACACTTGCGACAAACCCAATGAATATTGAAGAGTGTTGTCTCACATACATCACACATTTCCCTCACACCACGTACTGCTCGCTTCCATGCCACTTTCTCTATAAAGAGAAGGAATATTAGGAATTATCGCTTTGACATTTTTCATTTCTCCCACCTAATTTGAGAATATCACAGTAACATTGATAAAGAAACAATTCACAAAAACACAACTTGAGGGCAGAGTATAGAAACACATACTTTTTACTTCCAGAGACATATTCTTTGAGTTGCTAGTCTTGTGACACTATTAAAATCCCCATTTCTAAGAGTGGGTACGGTGAAGTCCCAAAATGCACATACTACAAGGAAATGGAGCACCTTACAGAGTTCTGTAGTAACTGAATTTCAAGGAGTACTTATGGAACTTACAGCAAAATTATAAAACTTGTGCTAGGTTTAAGAACAAATAACTTGAACTTATAAAACTACAAAAAACATGTATTTAGTTTTACTAATCAGATGCCTGTCAACTCTTCAGATTCTAAGCAAATACATTTGCTGAGGAAGGGGAAGTCCTCTCCAAATGGCTGCCCTTGTACATTCCAGAAGGTAAAGGGAAAAATCAGATACTCAGAGCTACCCATGTAATAGGCTGAACTGGATACATTCAGAAAATTTTTTCTAAACCCACTCCCCTTGTAGTGGCAACGCTGGCAACTAGTTGCTCAGCTAAGTCCTAACAGGCTGAACACAGGCACTGCTCCCATCCTAAAAAACCCTCAGCTTTTATGTGATGTCCCTAGACCATAACAGGATAGGAATATGTAAGAAAAGCTACTCATTAAAGCATAGCTGGTCAGTGTGATAAGTTACTTCTATTTTCTTAGGAGCATGGGTCAGTTGATTTCTACATTTTTTTATTGAAAAATACTTTAATGATGTCTGGGAAAGTTACTGTTAGCTTTCTTGGTAGTAACGTTGCTCTGATCCAAAAGAAAAATCCCAAGTGCTGGTCTCAATTACACACACCCCAGAGAAGTGAACATAGCCTTCTTTTTGGAAGAAAAGTAGAAGCATTTTAACAAGAAATTATATTACACTTCAATCCTATTCTACTGCATTGTACACACGTTACACAGAGAAGATGGACAAAAAACATGTCAAAAGCCCAGCTTACGATGTGGCTCCACCATCATCATTGCCTCCTTCTCCGACATAACAAGCTGGCAGAACTGGTCCCCAACATTGGCCAGAATATACTTCGAAGTTTCCAGATCAATCCCCTCTGCAGGGGAGGAGGAAGGAATCCATAGGCTCATGGCATCAGGGTCACTCTGTTGTGGGTTCAAGAAACCCTCTACTCTTAGAATACCTTTCCGGGTAAATATCAGCCTGCAGAAAACAGGATGGAGCTGCTCAACCAACTTTAATTAGTGTATAATGCCATCTACACCAGAATATAAACCCAGAAAGCAGATAAAAAGGCTTGAGCTAGACTGCTATACTCTACAGCCAGCACAATTATTATGCAAATCCAAATAACACAGAGAATAAGGTACACAAAGGCAATGGCTGCAAAACCCACTAGAATGAATCCCCAGGTCCCAGTAAGCACTGGTGGGAAATTCCACATACAGGAAATCGCTTTAGCTTGGTAAGTCACATTTCTCTATACTATTAATAGAAAGAGATGACAAAATTCAATTTATTCGGGCTGCTGCATGACGCTGCTTGCAAAATTCTGCATGGATTTCATACTCTATTTTAACTCAGGAGAAAGCTATTTCCCAACTTTTGGGTAACCAAAATTTCATTTCTGGCTAGGGCCGCTAGCAATTTGCAACTGTTCCAACAGTCCACATTACAAGACACACAAAAATCCTTATCATGCCTACTATTCTTGTCACTGCTCTCCACAGAGACGAGTCACAACTGTTTCATCAGTAGCTGTTGACCCTCCTAGTCTTTGTGTGGTAAAAGGTGTAACAACATAAGTTATAGAACCCTGAATGTCTTCTGCCAATATTAAAGGTAACTTCATTTTTGAGCAAAACCAATCTTGTCTTTAACCTCAAAGCTAGATTAATTTTTAACAAGTTCAGGAAGAGAAGCAGCTATAATCCTTACTGGATGGGCTGCACATACTAAAAATTCACTTCATCCTTTATGTGCCAGAAAGTGAACAAACACCTTTTTGGAAAAAGATGCATAGCACTTGCTAGAATAGGCAGTTAAGGTAGATGAACAGAAGCACGACAGGTCAAAGTAGTAAGACGTGTACACAACAAAAAGAGAAAATACAGGCAGTGTTCTACTCTTAAAATCAGTTCTGTACTCAACAAAACCTAGTCAAACATTAGCCTCATGCTGGTAATGTTTAGTTACTTGTCGACAGAAGTAGAATTTTATCTCTGTTCTGAACTCCTTATGAAAGGGAGAGAAAACAGTTATTGCATACAAACTGCTACCCAATAGTAAAACTCTACCTAATAAAGCAAATTCAATCTCCTGAGGCTAGACCTGGAGGTTCACTTAGTATCATATAGCTGTATCTTCCAACAGCAGCTCCTCCCACCCCAGTGGGGGAATTCCAGTCCGGTGACACAGGGAAATGCCAGTCACTCAAAATCTTCATTATTGTACCCAAGCACATTAAATAAGTAAAACATAATTACTTTGTGCCTGGACATGGTCCAAGCTTTGCACACAGACCACACATGAAGGAAGGAAGAATTTGAGCACCTCCGGAAATGGAAGAAGCGACATGCCACAGTTGAGTCATCCTGCTCTTGCTCCTTAAATTTGCGGTACCGCTCCAGACGGCACTCCCGGCACTTGTGCAGATGTGGAGCTACATTGATGCAAGAGCCATCCTGGAGAAAAGGCTCACCTGACTGCTTCAGCTTCCTCACCTTACTCATATCTTTCAGCACAGACTGGCCAACTGGATGAGGCAAATTAGAAGTAAAAATCCATTAGTTAACTGCAACAGCAAAAGGATACTGGCCCCAACAAACATAGTTTCAGAGATCTGTATGCACATACCCGTGCAAAACTAGTAAGACTGTTCAAACCTGCAGCATACCACACTTTTGTCCTGACATATATATGCTTAAACATTTCTCAAAGTGAACATGTTAATTAACATACAAGAGGCATTAAGCTTTAGCCTTGCAAATATCCTGTGTGCTGCCTACTGAGCATAAACTAGGTTTATGCTTTAAACTAGGTTCGAAGAGGGAAGGGGATAGGACCATGCTCACTAGAGATGAACCTAGGGGCGGCATGCCTGTGTCAGGGGCAAAACTCTTAGCCCAGCTGAAGTGCATCTACACCAATGCATGCAGTATGGGCAACAACCAGGAAGAGCTGGAAGTCATTGTACAGCAGGAAAGTTATGATGTAGTTGCCATGACAGAAATGTGGTGGAATGACTCTCATGACTGGACTGCTGCAACAGACAGCTATAAGCTCTTCTAAAGAGACAGGCGAAGCAGGAGAGGCGGTGGGGTAGCATTGTATGCAAGGGAGTGCTTGACTATACTGAAATTGATGATGATGAACATCACAAGGTTGCGTGCCTATGGGTAAAGATCAGAGGGAAGGTCAGCATGGAGGACATTACAGTGGGAGTCTGTTATAGACCACCCAACCAGGACGAACAGGCAGATGAGGCATTCTACAAGAGGCTGTCAGAAGTGTCACGGCTGCCAACCCTTGTTCTCATGGGCAACTTCAACTTGCCATCTATCTGCTGGAAATGCAACATAGCAGAGAGGAAGCAGTCTAGGAGGTTCCTAGAGTGTGTGGAAGGTGACTTCCTAACACAACTGGTAAAAGTGCCAACTAGAGGAGATGCCTTGCTAGACCTGTTTGTAAATAGTGAGGGAACAGTGAGTGATGTGATGGTCAATGGCCATCTTGGGTATAGTGACCATGAAATGTTAGAGTTTTCAATACTGGGTGAAGTAAGGAGGGCGACCAGCAGAACTTCCACCTTGGACTTCTGGCAGGCAGACTTTAGCCTGTTTAGCAGACGGATTGTCAGAGTCCCTTGGGAGGCAGTCCTGAAGGTGAAAGGAGTCCAGAAAGGCTGAATATGCTTTAAAAAGGAATTATTTAATGTTCAGGAACAGGCCATCCCCACGTGTAGAAATAAAAGTCATCAGGGAAAAAAGATCAGCCTGATTAGATAGAGAATTTAGGCTGGAGCTTAGGGATAAAAAGAGAATATATCGCCTCTAGAAGGGAAGTCAGGTAACTTGGGAGGAATATAGGGATGTTGTGAGGTCACATAGGGAAAAGATTAGAAGGACCAAGGCTCAATTAGAACTTGATTTCGCCACTGCGGTTAAAGATAGCCAAAAAATTTTCTATAAATACATTGGCAGCAAAAGGAGGGTCAAAAAGAGCCTCCACTATTTGCTGAATGCAGAGGGTAGTGTAGTGACAGGGGATAAGGAAAAGGCAGAAGTGCTCAATGCCTTCTTTGCCTCAGTTTTCAATACCAAAGACCAGTTGTCCTCAGGATGCACAACCCCCAAAGCCAGATGTTAAGGATGGGGAGCTGAGT